TCAACAATGAACTGGATGTGCCAATCACCTGGTCCAAACGGCTTCGCAACACAGCAGGACGGTGCATGAACAAACGCAGGTGAGTGGGGCTAGCCAACTCCAGACTGTCTGTTATGATCCCACCCACTTTCTGTCTTATTTGCAGACAAAAGCAGTACAGCAGCGTGGTGGAATTGAGTGTCAAAGTGCTGACCACGGCAGATCGTCTGCGATGCACCTTGATCCACGAACTGTGCCATGCCGCCGCCTGGGTTTTCAATGGCGAGGGTGGACACGGACGAGTGTGGAAGATGTGGGCCCAGCGGGCCAACGACAAGTTCCCCGACCTGCCGCAAATCAAGGTCTGCCACAACTATAGCATTGATTTTAAGTACAGCTACAAGTGCTTGACCTGCAATACAAAGTAAGTTCCCACATAAAGATTAAGGATATTTCTCTAATGGGATTGCCTCTTTGTCCTACAGTTCACATGCTCACTCCCGATCCCGAAAGGTTGAAAACCTACGCTGCAGTACATGCCGTGGACCCATCACATTGTTCTTGAACAAAAAGGACAGGCAAGGAAACATCGTGTCCAAGCCAGCAGGAGAGGCCAAGGGATTCGCCAAGTTCGTCAAGGACAACTTCAAGAAGCACAAGCGGGAAAACATGACCGCCGCTGAGGTTATGCGCGTTCTAAGCGTGGAGTTCGCCAAGCTGAAGGGTCAGCCGACGAGGGAGACAACGGCGTCGAGCGCCACCCAAGTGGCACCGATAAATGTGGACGACTAGCTCAAGAAGCTGGATACTATCAATGTTCTCATCCGATACACAAGATCGGAATATTCATATATTCCCTAATATATATGAACTATTTTTTAATCATTTTTAATACTTTTAAGTAACAAAAATCCAAAAATCGAATTCGACACAATGGAAACAGGACCATTTATGGATAAACATGTATATTTTGTTAAATGTATTATAATTTTTATTTTATATTATTTTCTTAACCAAGACAATGTTCCCGTTAAACTTTAACGGCCATTTAAAAGGCAGTGCTGTATAATTCATTTGTGGATAGTATGTGCTAGAAACCAATGTAAGCAGCTACCAGTCTATAAAAATGTCACCCAATAAATGTAGAAGGGTTTTTCTTTAAAAATTAATTAACACAAATATTAGATTCAGCTGTATGCAGTGTTTTTAAGGGGAAAAGGGGAAAAAAAGTTTATAACTCCTTTTTAGGTATCTCTTTAATGAACTGCCCAACATGATATTTTAAGGTAGCCAAGAAATATTATTGCATATTTACAATCCACAAAGGACTGGTTAAATAAAATAATAACAAATATAAGCTTAGTAAGTATCAGGCTATCCCCACGTCGTTGCCAAACCAGTAAACAGTGTCTTGATTATTTTTGTTTATAATAGGAAAAAATAAAATAAAAAAATGTTTTGGAATCTGTATAAGTTATTACCCAGGTTGATTTGGGAAAAAAAAACACAATTTAAGTAAGTAGTAGGGTATTCAAAAGCCGTTGCGCCACCTATCAACAGAGATTTTACGGTGCTTTGCGTGGCGACTCTGGTCACACTGGCCCGCACTCACACACAGCCAGCGTAAACATTTTGTCGCAGAACCGAACACGTCAGCTACGCGGATTGATTGAAAACCGACTTTTCGAGCGCCCCGCAAATCCGATCCGTAGCAGCAGTCCATCCTGCGCCATCCGCATCCGATCCGCGAAGTATTTCCCAGGAGCTAAAAACGTTAAAAGCAGCTGCAAAATGGTAAGAGTCCACCGGCCAGCATACACCCAAACACACACGCACACAAACACGTCGGCGATTTTGAGGCTAATCGGGGTATTCCGGAATTATCATTATTTGTTATTAATTATTCGACTTGCAGGTACTTATTGCTGCGGCAGTCTGCACGAAGAATGGCAAAGGTGAGTAAAAAGCACTATACCCCATAAAAAGTCACATACACATAACAAATAACGTATACGCCCAGTGATCCTGTCACGTCAGTTCGTCGAGATGACGAAGGCACGCATCGAGGGACTGCTGGCCGCCTTTCCCAAACTCATGACCGCTGGCAAGCAGCACACCTACGTGGAGACGGACTCCGTGCGCTACGTCTACCAGCCGATGGAGAAGCTCTACATGCTGCTCATCACCACAAAGGCCAGCAACATCCTGGAGGATCTGGAGACGCTGCGCCTCTTCTCGAAAGTGGTATAGAAGTCTATAAAACTTACAGAATTCAATGCTAATCACCCCTTTCAACTACAGATTCCCGAGTACAGCCATTCCCTAGACGAAAAAGAGATCGTAGAGAACGCCTTCAACCTAATCTTCGCCTTCGACGAGATCGTGGCCCTTGGTTACAGAGAGAGCGTCAATCTGGCCCAGATCAAGACCTTCGTGGAGATGGACTCGCACGAGGAGAAGGTCTACCAGGCGGTGCGGCAGACGCAGGAGCGCGAGGCGCGCCAGAAGATGCGCGAGAAGGCTAAAGAACTGCAGCGCCAGCGCATGGAGGCCAGCAAGCGGGGTGGTCCCTCGCTGGGCGGCATGGGCGGACGCAGCGGCGGCTTCAGCGCCGACAGCTTTGGCAGCAGTGGCGTGAGCAGTTCCAGCGGCTCCAGCGCTGCCATTGGCATCACCTCCATCGATGTAGAGACCAAATCCAAGGCAGCTGCGTAAGTCACCTATTGTTTTTTTCTATCTGGTCGCTTTTCGGTTAATTATGACGATTTTAAGCAGCAGCAAGCCAACCTCGCGCAATGCCCTCAAGCTGGGCGGCAAGTCCAAGGATGTGGACAGCTTTGTGGACCAGCTGAAGAGCGAAGGCGAAAAGATCGCCAACTTAGCACCGGTAGCGCCCGCCGGAAGCTCCAGTGCTGCAGCCAGCGCCAGTGCAGCAGCCAAGGCGGCCATATCGGCGGATATTCACAAGGAGAGGTGGGTGTTTTAGTTACCTCCTATATAACTGCGTCTAATGCGAAAATTCTCTTAATCTCTCCACCCAGTGTGCATTTGAAGATCGAGGACAAGCTGGTGGTGCGCCTTGGACGCGATGGCGGCGTGCAGCAGTTCGAAAACTCCGGCCTGCTGACGCTGCGCATCTCGGACGAAGCCTACGGCCGCCTCTTGCTGAAGCTGTCCCCCAACCACATACAGGGCCTGCAGCTTCAGACGCACCCCAACGTGGACAAGGAGCTGTTTAAGTCGCGCACCACCATTGGGCTCAAGAACCTAGGCAAGCCGTTCCCCCTCAACACTGACGTGGGTGTGCTCAAGTGGCGCTTCGTCTCGCAGGACGAGTCGGCCATTCCATTGACCAGTAAGTTGACCCGCACCCAAACCATTTCCCTCTCTTTCACTTACGTGTGTTTGTTACCATTTCTTTTTCAACAGTCAATTGCTGGCCGTCGGATAATGGCGAAGGTGGCTGCGATGTGAACATCGAGTACGAACTGGAGGCCCAGCAGCTGGAGCTGCAGGACGTCGCCATTGTCATACCGTTGCCGTAAGTAGATCTCTGTTGTCACCAATCTTGAGAGGATTAGCTATTATCTCTTTTTTTTCCATCTCATCCTCAGGATGAATGTGCAGCCGTCGGTGGCCGAGTACGATGGCACCTACAACTACGATTCACGCAAGCACGTTCTGCAGTGGCACATCCCCATCATCGACGCCGCCAACAAGTCCGGCTCCATGGAGTTCAGCTGCAGTGCATCCATTCCGGGCGACTTCTTTCCCTTGCAGGTGTCCTTCGTCTCGAAAACGCCGTACGCCGGCGTCGTGGCCCAGGATGTGGTGCAGGTGGACAGCGAGGCGGCGATCAAGTATTCGAGCGAATCCATTCTGTTCGTGGAGAAGTACGAGATCGTGTAGGTCATGCCGCCGGCCACGCCCACCTAAGTAGTACATAAATATACCTAGAAGTCCATTTTATTTTTCCCGAGGCGATTCGATTCGATACGATTGATTCTACTGCTGCAGCATGTTAAAGATAATTTTTTTATTTTTGTGTTTCAAACTTTGGATATTTATGTCGCGCGAACAGATTCTCAGAGCGAGTAATTCCAAAAAACAAAAAGCTAAATACATACGGAAAATCATTGATACCAATTAATAAATCAGATTTTGTGCACTCCAAGCGTATAACGGTATAAAATAAATGAAAGGTAATTAGTTGTAGTTGGCAATTGTAAAGTGTTTTGTTTCGTGCGCTTCGTGCACCCCCTTCATTTGGAGTATTTTTTATGTAAAATGCTATGAATAAACTATACACAATATACATAAAATTACTGATAACAGGTGTGTTTTCTTTGTTTAATAACTTTTATTCCATGTTCCAATTCACCTATAATGGGTATTTATTATATATTAAAGAAAATATATTAATTAAGATCTTAATTACTTAAAAAGTATCTATAAAATAATAGTTTATTTCTATACTTTGGAAAACAACTAGCATTGTTTATTCAAAAAAGGTATATATATATATCTTTAGCTTACAAAATATACACAATTTCTGATAACAGAACGCGTTTTTTCATTGTGTAGTAACTCTTACCTCATTTTAGAACTCAATAACAATCGTTATTTATTATTTAAATAGCTTAAGTATTCAAATAAATAAACTTTTTCCAAGATTTAATTATATTTGAATTATTTAATAGTTAGTTTTATGATTTCGGAGAAATCGTTGTTGGTTTTTAAATGAAAAAAACAAATTAGAATGATACGTTTGAATTATTTAAATTAGATTTTTATAATAAAAGATATTTTTATACTTTGGATGAATTTTTGTTTGTTTATTTTTATATGAAAGGAATAAATAAAGAACAAAAATTTTAGTGTGGAGACATGGAAATCATCTTGATAAATAACATTAGCTATTCAATATAGATGTATATCCTTAGTTTAATTTTACAGTACCGGGGTTTATCCAAATTAGGCCTACTGTATATGGTACGGTATTTGGCATTGCTGGTCTGGGCACAAACGGTCACACTTGTCATTGTTTTGGTTCTAGCTTTGTTTTTTTTACTTGGGTTTCTGTTCTACGTCGCGAATTTCAAGCAACGCCCATGGAGCAGCAGCTGGAGAAGGTCTTGGCGGAAATGTAGGGATCCCGTCGGGCCAAAGAACCCCCACTAATAATAACCAATAACCAATAACCCCTCTTTGCAGCGCCGCGCGTCAGGACACGGTGGGAGCTCTTCTGGCAAATCGTCAGGGATTGTGTCTGGGCAGTGAGTATAAGGAGCATTTCGGGGGCTTTGGCCCGATTAATCAGTTGCGATAATGCCGATGGACTCTTGCAGCCAAGGGCGACATCGATCCGAACGTGTCCGGCATCGGAATGGCCATTTCCGAGCAGGTGGCCAAACTTGAGCCAAATAACACGGTTCCGGCCACGATTTGCCTGTACAGCGGCAACAAGTAAGTTGGCAATTCCATTGGTCTGAGTGGGTGTTCCCATTTGGAGGACATGCTTGCCTAGCAATAGCTCTTCTAATTCTATTTATTTTGTATCACTTTAATCGAAAAATATTTTATAAAGGTTTTTATCCAGAGTATCTAACTCCTTTGCTAGCACATGTTTCCATAGTAGATCTTGTGACAAATTTGAATTCTATCAAAAACTTATTTGAATTAAGTACAACTTATTTATGAATATCTTAAATAAATATTTATGACAATAAATATTTTTTTAAGACCTAATGTAATTTTTACGTACTCATGATCTGTTCGTTGATGCTCTTATAAACAAAGTCGTCTATTAATATATTTTTTGTACAATGCAATTTTTACAAACTCAAGACAGTTTTTTAAGTAGGATTTTATTGTACCCGTAATAATGCAATTTTTGCAAGCTCAAGCTTCATCTAGAATACGGTTAATCATATATATTTTTGTGATTACTTTTCTGACATATACATTTCCTTTATTCCAGACGCTGTGTGATCCAGAAGGACGGCGAGATCACTGGTGTGCTCTTCAAGCAGCAGACGACTGCATCGGCTACCGCCGCCAGCAACTAACAGGAGCTGGGGCTTCAAGCGCAACACTCAGGCCAAATACGCAAGTCAGGATCATAATCAGGATCGGGATTTGAAAACACAGTCAGATACAGATGCAAATACAAATATCTTTCACGACGCGCCAGCTTCGCTTAATTCATTTGATTTGTTACATTTGTCAATCGTTCTAACCGAAAACCATTATCCATAATCATTGTTTTGTACGACTCGTCTAGCATTAAGAATTATTCGTAATGCATTACGCATTAAGCACAGCTGCTAATCGCCATCTCTGAGCCAGCCTTGCGCTATCACTATGTACATATAGACTTTGTACGATTAAGCCCCACAAAGTGATCAAAGCATATATACACCAATTACAATTATAGCAATGCAAGCTTTTGAACTTGGCAATTTTCTCGAAGTGTTCAGCCGTAATTACTCAATCATAACGGTTTGGTCTGGTGTGGAGTAGAGTGGTTCGTGCAGCAGTTTCTTGCACGTTTTCCGGGTCTGCAGTATGGGTTGGGTGCACCGCATCGCATCGAGGAAATGCCTCCGCCCACGTCATATAAGAAGTGATACATGGACATGGACATGGCATGCTGCATGCAACAAATCAGCGGCTACACTGCAGCGGTATCAGTAGTGCCAGCAGACAAATTGCCGCGCATTCCGCAGCCCACGAGCCATGGTTTATGTGATACAGTCGAGCATCTATTGCTGAAACCATTAAATCATTTACTCATAGCAATTTTTAAATTTTACTATTTGACGGTGGTATTTTTCAAAATGTAGAATTGGAAATAATAATAAATATATCTATAAAGACAGCAGAAATATGTCCTTTATAGAAGTTTTAAAACTTGGAATTCAGAAACTTGCACTTATATAAAAAAATAAATATCTGGGTATCGAATTTAAAATGTGAAATTACATATTTCAATAAAAATATAAAATCATAACATTTAATACTTTGCTAAATCAATATTTAACTTTAACTTCAATAACATATATCAGATATTATAATCTATTGCGAAAATGGTCAAAGTAAAAATGAAAATAAAATTTAAGATTTCCATATTTTTAATAGCTTTAAAAAGCAATGGATGAAAACTAAATATTCAAATGGAGAATACAGAATTTGATTTACTACGTTTTCCTATCAGTGTAGAATTACTATATGATTTTTTGCTAATCTTTTCAAAAAAATTTGCTTATGTCTTTTTTATATTAGCACAATTATTATAACTTTTCTTTAGGTAGGATTGACTGTTTCGAAAGTAGTATGACAACACACAAAATTTCGTACACGAACGGCGCCTAAAATCGATTGAAAATCTTCCCAGGCATCTGATGGTATTCCCTGGTACCGCCAGGAGAAGGAGCCCACTTGGCCGGTTTTGTGCCTTACACGGATACAACATGCTTACAATATCCGTATATTTTTGTTGTCAGTTATGGTAAAAAGGTACTTGTGTTTCGAAAACTCTCGGAAATTGGCAGACATGCCGATCTTTATCTTTTGATATATTTTGGATACGATTGTCATGTAAAGTGATACGATAGGACCATCATATCATTCTGGTTTTCTGTGCAAATGTGAAGGCGGCAAGCTGATGGAGTTTTATAACTTGCAGGGCGAATTTTAATGTTGCAAAACAATAACAAAAATTGAAATATTGTATGCACATCTGCCAAACAAGCCAGGTACACCCACTCTTTGTTTTCGAGCCCAGTGTTTACCTGTTGCAGAGCCCCGAACCTGAAAAGGCCTTGAACTTTCACCACGGGGCATTGGCGACCCACGTGTGGCGTCTAGGCTTCTTTTTTCAGCTTTTTTCCCTCAGTTTTCTGTGGGTGTGGGTGTCGAAAAGCTGCGGCTGTGCAAGGTAAATAACACAGAGACAACAAAGTTGATAAAATACGACAAAAACAAAAACAAAAAACAAATGAACACCGAAATTGGCAGCCAAGGTGCGTTTGTTTAGCCGCCGCTGCAAAAACCTTCAACTTGAATTAAGCGTTCAGTTTTGGAGGGATCCATGTGACCACCAATGGTTTTTCTAGGTTTTTATTTTCGATGCCTTTAGACATGGAGAACCTTTTCCCCTGACTGCATTATATTTCAATTAAAATTTTTTTAATTATTTAATTGTTTAATTATTACTCATACGCAGTGATTAACCACCATATACTGAATTGGTGTTTATATAACTTACGTTTACATTTTGGATAAAATAAAGGTGGTATCTTCTTTGTTCTTCTAAAGGTAGTATCAGCCATATCACAAAGTTGACTTTTAAAGTACGCAACCTTTACATATAATAGCTCTAATTTATTTTTAACCATGCAACTATATTTTTCGTATCATGTTGTTTAATTAAAATAAGTAGTACATTTTATCATATCTCACAATTTACTATAAAGATGTAAGTATTTTTTAGTTAATATCCAAAATAATTTAACTTATTTCTTTGGGGAAATTAGAATATGCAATAGTTTAATTCTAGTAATAAAATGTTCTTGGGAAAATACAAATTTACATAGATCTACAACATACAAAAAAAACCCACATTTTTCGGTATTCACTCTCGCTTTTAAGAAACTGGAACGCTAACGAGGAAAACTGGTTACTTTTTCCCCGGCGAAAGTGCCAATGGCAAGATGACTCACGATGCAGTCGAAAAGAAATTCCAAAATCTGCTGCGACTCGCTGCATTTTTCACATTTTTTGGCCAAATCAAACCGGACCTGATCGAAAACCACTAAGCGGACAGCTGGCGGTCGTAAGAATTACGATATGTGCCCGACATGAAAAATGCCCCCTTTCCAGAGCACGAAAAAAACCCATGAATTATGACAGTTCATAAATTGGTCGAGGAAAAAAATGCGATAAATAAACAGAGTACCCCCCAAAACATATTTCGATGTTACAAAAATCTGCGGCTTTCATATATTATACATTTTTCAACAATTCTTAGACAGCCGATTGTTTTGTGTTAGTTATAACTTGGTCATTTGTTTACCATCTTAAAATTACCGAGCGTATTACCACCTTAATTATTAACGCAATTACTAACGCAAGCCATTAACATTGGTTTGTCTGTTTGAGTCAGTTGTTTAGTCAAACAATGGCTTATGTATATTTGAAGGATCAGTTTAATCATAGTTTCCAGCACTTGTTTAACTATTGGAGCACAGAATATGAATTTTATGTGCAGCCAAGCTTGACAAAACAAAGTGAGTCCACATTACAGATAATTGATACCTATAATTGTGAAAAGATCAATTCCATGCTCGATTGCAATTCGATTAGCCAAATAATTGGTTACACTTCGGAGGGTGGAAAACAAAGGCACTGAGAAAATTTTCAAAGCTTTAGATATATGCATTTCTAAAAACTTAAAAAAAATTTTGGATAACAGGTAATTCAGGCTGTTTGATTATCTGATATTCCGCGTTTGAGATTTGACGTTATTCATTTTGTTTTCTTATTTTTCTTTTTAATAAGTTTTATAGGTTATTTCTTGCTACACAAGGATCCTGATAACATAAAAAGTGTTCATTTGGATTACGATACATGAATAAGGGTAAAATGGAAAACCATCTGTATTGTTCGCAGTGTACCCACAAACGTAGCTGGCGAACGGAAACGGCAACCCGTTAGCAGTCTCTATACGATATTCGATATATGTCCATATGGAGGCGCCTATCATCTCACCACTCATGTTGCTCCGTTTTGGGTAATTATGTCATGGGGGGCTAATCGCCGCCGCGAAATTCCCTCAACTATCGCGTCATCGGTCTATGCTATATACTATATAGGCATTTTGCCACGAAATGACGACATTTGGACTTTGAATACATATATTGATTTTGTTTACATTTTTGTCGCCAGGTAGAAAAAGTAATTGAACACTTCGAACTGATATGTCGAGCTCAACCAACTTGTATATATTTGATTTGTATTTGTTTTTAATATCTGAATCTTCAATTTAAATTTAAACCAAATTTAACTCAAATAATATGCATTTAAATCAAACAGGAATACATTTTAAATCTTATATTTTCCACATTAATTAAAATTTTTAATATTAAATATAAATTATTAAAATTTAATATGCATTGTATATAATACTATGATTTCATATTTCCTTTTAAAATTTAACATACAATTTTAAAATTAATAGTTAGATATTTATTTTTACTACTCCATTCCAGTGTAGTAATAAATGTAACTTAATATTTTTTTGAGATGTTTTCTATTGCAATGTAAATATATATATATTTTTTTTAATCAGTCATCGTCAATCGCCAGAATTGACTGTGGAAGTAGATTGATGGTCATACACGAATGGCTATTTATATCTGCATCGTAAACAATTGGTAAAGTGGTAGGGCGGGTCAGCAGGTGACGCCAAATCGGATAGAAAATAAATAAACATTTCTTAGTGACGCCGACTTCTTTTGGGAATGCTGTCGCCTGTGAATCATCATCATTGTGGGATGGTGGAACTCGATTTGGGTTTTCGCCTTATATGGTTAATTTCAAAATTGATTGCGATTGTTGCACCAACTCATGAATCATGGATGTTTTGCTCGCCAGATGCTGTTTTTATATTTTGGCCAGCTTTACTCGGCATCTGGCCAGATAATCCTATTATACTATCATTAAAAAACATTTTAAAATACATGTTACGTTTTTAAAGTAATGTTTAAAATCGAAACGCATGAGTTTCTGAGGAACTAAAGTACTTTTTCACTGCAATTTGTTATCGTTGAGTGTGTCATCTCCCGTAACGGCTGCAAAATGGCCATTTAATTGTTTCAGCTTGGGGGAAAATTTGCATGCGACTTATGGGAGCCGCCGACTGTTTGTCTGGCCAAAAGCCTTAAATGCGAAATAAAAACACACAATAGCCCGATGTTATCTTCGCCTTGCCCATATTGACTCTCCCGATTCAGATTCCGATTCTCGGGCGACGATTGCATAATCTGCGAGTGTGGCGAGTGTTTTGCTACAGATTTGGGTCCCGTGCACGCGGCATTACCTATAGATCGCATATAGTACCTCCAACACATCCCAACTTTGCCTATATACCAGACAATTAAAACAATTGATGCGATTTCTCGCACAAATGTGCCAAACACGAACGTTTAATTTATATTTAGTCGATCGCCTTCATCCGTCAAACGATCATCAATAGCCCCTTCCTTCCTTTCCCCCCCTTTTTCAGTCACGAACCAAAGGCAAGAAATTAAATCGATTAAAAATCGTTCAGTAGTTTTTTTTCTGTGTTTTGCTATGTATATATATTTACTTAGCTTTTTATACAAAACGAGAGCTGGGGGTTTGATTCCTATTTTAGAAATTAAATGTAAAAGTTAATTGAGTAAACTAAATATTTTGTTAAATTGATTTTTGTATACCCATTTTACATTTTCGATACCAACAAATTAAGAGACAAAATTCACCTCACTTTTCAATAGTTAAAATTACAGAAAACAAGAAAGGTGACAATGAAAGGTGACAATGAAAGGTGAAATGGTGATCCAATTTTTGTTCAGTGCTTCATTTTGGTATTTCGTCATCGGCCGAGCATCAGATCAGCAACATCATTAACATGCCGCCACCTCTTGAATCACTTTCTACTTTCACTGCTGCACACGTACACTGTCGCGTTTCTGTGCGATACCAATGCAGGATTTTTATTTCGCACTTGAACGCTAACATGGCACAAATTGACGTCAGCGATGGTTAATGATAATCCCTGAAAACAGACAATCAGATGTGTTATCTGTAAACCAATATCTGTTACTATATCTTTTCCGATACCCAGCATTGCAATGTAAGCGTTGTTTATGTAAAATATGTATATATACCTCAAGTGGATTCTGCGACGCAGATGCCTGGAATACCTGATCTAAGACTCTCGCCGATTGCTAATTACTTAGTTGGGCAAACACTATTTGTATTTTCAAAAGAACCCTCGGCTGATCATACAGATCGATGCTTCCGCAAGTTGGCATTACAGCTGTTGACCGCAGGTGCAGATAGAGTACAGTTAGGACTGACTATGCTGTACTTGGATTTCGATTTTAAAGGGTACTTACGAAATGTGGGAAGCCTTTAAGGTATTGGTTTTTTTTTGTTTTTAATTCAATCACTTAAATTCACGATTGTTTTTTGGGTTAAACCCAATGTTAAAACCAAGATGTAATATATTTTGGATTATTTCTTTGAATTTAATTTTTGATTTTTGGGTACAAAATTCTGTTATTTGATGCATTTGATTTACAATGCAACGGGTTTTGATAATAACGCAAGCAATCATTTAAATTCAATATCGACTTTTAGGTGCATTTTCAAAGTTTTCCCTTAAAACCGCTATATGTTTAATACATATAGGTACTACCTGATCAGGTCTACATCTATCTTATCCACTGACCTCGCATTGCAGGGCCAGCATCGCCAGTCGGCTGAAAACACATGCGGTTTGATCTTGATCGTCGCACTAAGGTAACGCGGTCTGTAAGTAGTAAATAGTGAAGCTGTAAAAGACCACATGTTTGGCCAAGGTAAATAATTCATCCAAATTAAGAGACATGCGCAGCTATTCTTGTTAACATTGTTAACAGCTTTAAAAGTTTGTGTTTTCCCAAACAAAACCCAGAAAAACTACCACTTGTCAAGATCGAAGAGATTTCCCTGGGATGACGTCCATATTTTTATCTGCGGGTCAATGTGCTTTCGTCACGCTACATATACCACTCATTTTTGTTTGGTACCAAAAATATTACTCAGCCGACATGTGGTGCGAACAGCGAGGTCCAAAATACTGGTGGTGATTTTGTTGGCCACAGCTGAAAAATTGGATTGTCGTCATCAAATAAAGTTTTTGTTATTTTATTGTGTTTGCACCATTTCCCTCACCAATAATAAGAACCATTGCTTGTAAGTGATATTTAGTTTTAACAAATCATTGTTTCTTTTATTCTCTTTCTATTTTGTCGTTGTGCACCTCTTCTTTTTTCTTCCGTTCAATATAAAAACAGCCGCTTTTTGCAGTGTATTAGTGCTGAAACTTATGCTGCTAGGAACATCGATTTTCGAATAAAATACTCCTCGTCTCTCTTTAGAAAATCAGAGTCAAGAAATAATGGTTAATCGTCGATAGTTACTCGATAGAAAACAAAAAATATTGCTTAGCCTAAAATGGAGTTCAATGTGAAAAATTGTACACTTGAAGAAATTTTCAATGAACTTGTCGCGAGAATTCGTTAAATAAATAATCAAAACGTCTGGAAAAAAACATAAGATTAACCTAACTTGCGTTTATGCATAGTGTATAAAGTAGTTCAAGTTAAACTTTACTTTTACTTCGTTTCCATTTGTATATGAGATGCTTTATTCGTAAAATAATAAAATAAATGGTTGGAGGTAAAACGAAAAGAAATGAAACGAAACCTAAAGGTAAAGGTAAGTTATGATAAATGGAGTGACTTTAGTTGAAAGTTGTGGTCAAAATAAAAAAGTATTTGTATTGCCTTTCTTCTGTGCTTCTTAAAAAAAATAATGTATGCGCGGATGTATGTATATATTTTTGTATTTTTCTATTCTTTTTTGTTTTTGTTTTTGTTTTTACTTTTACTTTTCATTTTTATTTTCATTTGACGTGTAAATATGTGAGAAAGTGAAAAAAAACATCACAGTTAAAACTTCAGTACATTTTCTCGTGGTTCGAAATTAATCAAGAAAAAAAAAACGATGTATGTATATACATATGTAGATTAAAGTTCTATTTTTCTCTAAAGATATACGCTTACAAAATACAACTTATGTATTGCATATAAATAATGATTATCCTCCTTTTTTTTTTGTTTGCTTCTTTTGCGTTTTTTGTCATTTCAATTTAGCGAATTACTTGATATATGGATACGTTGAGCCAACATCTGGCAATGGGGCCCTATATAAGGCCGATGCATCAGATACATCAGTATTATAGAAACCGATTGCCAGGTGAACGACGCAGCTGAGATTTTCGGATTGTTTTCTTGTTGAATACAGTACAAACTAGGCGATCCTACAACTGGCTTAACTACTAAAAGTACTTGCTGGCCCCCATGTGTTCCCCCAAGCCTATAACCCCGCCCCCCTAATCCTCCCAGCTCCATGTGGGATCCAGCTCGCGATTGATGCGCCACAGCATCAGTTCCATGCAGGCCCGCGAATCCTCGAAGCTGCTGTGTCCCGTGGTGCCGTCGCCACTCTGGATCTCCCGCTTCAGGTGCACCTTGGTGAGGTGCCTCAGTGCCCGGCGGTAGGGAAAGCCACTGCAGTGCGGGAAGCTGATCGAGGTGTCGATCAGCGTGTTGTGCACCAGGCGCAGGGCCCGCAGGTCGTTGTCCAGTCCGTGGCCAATGAGGATGGTGTCCGCGGCGATCAGCTCGAGCAGATCCCGCTGCACCTCGGCCAGACTCTTGGCGCCGGAGCGCAGGTCCCGCTCCGTGATGCCCGAGTACCGGGTGTTGTAGTCAATGATGTCGCACTCGGGCCGCACAAAGTGCTCGTACACCAGCTGCCCGTTGAGGGCCACCAGTGAGACCTTGGTCACGTCCAGGCCACGACCCGTGTAGCTCATCTCGCAGTCCAGGGCATAGGCAGCGGGCTCGTCGCCATCGTTGGATGAGGGCTGCTCCCGGTGCTGGGTCCGCACGAAGTCGTAGTAGGGTCCGTTGACCCCCACCACCGAGCCCGTCCACACGTGCCGGTCACTGAGGCAGCAGCCCGGCGAGGATTCCTCGCCCTCGTGGCAGCAGGTCCAGCGTCCATGGCAGACGCCGTCGTAGTAGCGCTGGTACTTGCCCGAGTGGTAGTGGCACTCCTCGCGCGTCAGGTACTGACCCGTCAGCTCGTCCACCAGGAAGTGCCGCTTGCAGCGGGCACAGGGCTTGGCCAGGCTGCGCTCCACTTGCACGTACTGGCAGTACTTGAGCTCCAGACCCAGTTCGCCATCGCAGCCGGCGGAGGAGGAGGAGGAAACGGTGGAGGAGTTGGAGGACTCGCACTCGCTGCCGCTCCACTCGCCGCCGGACTCGGAGTCCAGGGAGCGGGGTGAGCTGTTCCCGGAGTCGCTCGAGGTGGCTACCTCCTCCTGGTTGCTCAACCCATCGTGGCAGTTGATCACGGTGACGGCCGGAGCAGTTTCCGCCAGGGCAGCGGCAAAACTCATGTGTGGCAGGCACTTGAAGATCTCGATGGCGCCCTCGTGCACCACGGATTCCACGGGAAAGCCGTAGACCCTTAGCAGATGGTGGTCGATGACATGGCGCCGCAGCTGCTGCATCACAGCCCGGTCGTCCAGATCCAGTTGCTCGTACTGGCGGAGCGGCGGCACCAGGAAGTTGGCGTTCTGCCTGCCACGCTCCCGCTCTCGCCGCCATTCCAGAGTGGCCACGCCGGGCATTAGGGAGCGCTCGATCCGCTTCCGGTTGCCATTCGCATGGGGCGAACTCGTCGGCGAACTGGTGGGCGAACTCAGGGCCGAGGAGGAGCTGCTGTCGCAGGTTTTCCGCTGCGTGTTGCTGCCGTGCTTCGAGATGTTGCTGCCGGGATGACCGCCAATGTTACTATTACACTTGCCGGGTTTCTTGTTGCTGTTGCGCTTCTGTTGCTGCTGCTGTGGGTTGTTGCTGCCGGGGTTGGACTGTTGCTGCTGCTGTTGCTGACGCCACTTGCCACCAGCAGTCTGCTTGGCGGTTTTCTGGCCTCCAATCGAGGCACTGGCTCCCGACTTCTGGCCACAATTTTGGTCAGGATTGCGGAGCTGCTTCTGCTGGCGCTTCGAACGCGACTTGTTGCCGCTGGGAGCACCTGCAACATGGCCACCGCCGTTGCCGCCATTCAAGCTGCCCTTCGGCTTGTTCAGATGCTCCCTGCTGGAGTCCATGTCCTCGCTGGTCGCCTCGCTGCTGGTGCTATTGCGATGACCCGGATTGTGCTGGCCCAGAAACTTGTCTGCAATAAAACATGGAAAAAGGGGTAAGCAAATTAATCAAAATTATTACATATAACATTAAAAGAGCTTTAAGATTTGCATACATTATTTAATAAAGATTCCCAAAGTAACTAAAATATTTCAATATTTGGAGAATATTCATTTGTAATATAAAAGACTTTAATTTTATGATGGTATTTATAAAATATTATTTTTTTGTTTGTACACATTGTATTCAATTACTTGTTAATGAAAATCGTTTAATTTTTCAATAGATTACTCTTAAATTTTGTTAATTTCTTGAACCTTATTCATTAAAAACCTCTTAGGAATTTCAGCCAATAAAATAAAATATTCGTTTAGAAATTCAAATTCTGATAACACGTTCGCACACAAGCGTAAAACTTATACGCTTATCAACAAACGCCACGTGCTTTTGAGTATTTCTCTCTCTCTCTTTTGTCGTTTCCATATCTCCCTTTATTTGTTTTATTCGATGCTACACCTAGGAAAACTGTGTATGGTTTGGTATTACGTTCGGATTCATATGATATTAATATATTTAATTTATTTCTATTAGTTCAATTGGTTAAATATGTAGTATAAGCTGGATTAAAAAGATTATTGTTTTTTCAGTTTTTGGTGTAGTGTTTTTTTGCTACAAAGTTGGCTCTAATATTATTTAATTTTCAATTATAAGAAAACTATTATGTTATCATCATATGTAATACGAATGTTGCACATGTGTATCCCAAAGTGAAGACTATTTATATTTTTTGTCGTGTAAATGTGTGTATTTAATTTTTGATAGTGTGATTTGATTTAGGGAAGGTTACGCATGACTGGAAATTGACGCATGTGTGCGGCGTTTCTACCTCGAGTTTTTGCTAATTCAGCTTATTTGGTTGCCACCCAACGGGTGGGTTAAAAGGGGGTGGGGCGTGGCTGGGGATGGGGAAGTGGAAGGGGAAGGGGATGGGGGAGGGGGCCTCGTGTTGACGCATTACAATTATACACATTTTATTATGACTATTATATGCCGCCTGTTATTATTATTTCTACCTATTAAGCGCTTTACGTTGTCTCGGCTTCCGCATTTAGCTCATCATTTTCCCCATTCCCCTTTTCAATTCTCGTTCTCAAGTTAATCATTAAAGTTCTAAAAGGGGTTCGTGGGGGGTGTTTTGTGGAGCGCCAAAAGGGGTTATAGAGGGGCATCTGAGCTGGCTTGACCTGTTGTCAAAGATTAATTTAAGTTTTTTGGGACGAGGACTAATCACGCTAATAATCAAAGAGTCCAGTTGATAGAATGAAACCACTTAAGCTTTATTTATGAATATTTATACAACAACTAATGCTGCGTTATTAAACGCAATATAAAAGCAAGTTTCTCAAATCATAATTTAAATAAAATATTCAATTAGAGAAATTTATTTTTAACATTGCCCAAATATATATTTAAAATCACCAATATTAAGGACGGGTTTGGAGCTCAAGCTTAAATGTTAAATGAGTGGTTAGTTAAGTAATGGTATTCAGTAGAGTAGTTCTATCAAAATTCAAAGTAATGTATTCCAAGAACCTTTAAAAAATAAAACATCGAACGATCCTAGCCTAAAATCAGCAATGCATATCCTATTGACGCGTTTGGAACTTAAATATAAATGTTTAATAAGTTGCTTGTTAAGAAATGATATTTAGCTAATAAGACATTGTATCGATCCCAGATCCCAACGATTATAAATCCTGCCAAGCATTCTTTTCAATCATAAACAGTCTATTATTTCTGGTATCTATCTACGATATTCAAACTGACGCAGTTCGAGCGAACTATAGTCTTCCTATTCCGTCAAGAGTCATCCGTCACTCAGAGGGGACTTATGACGCCTTTAAAGTCGACGACATTTTCTTATCTGTTTCCTAGACGGCGACTTGCGAATTGCCAACCGCTTCCTTGTAGTGAAAAGCGCTCGAGCGAACACTTCCTTAACACTATTGTGCTACCCATATATGTACATTAGGGTGGTTAAATAAAAAAGTGATACATTTTAATATGCAATAAATGTATTTGAAAACCATACCATTTTATTTTAAGTTTTATGTCTTGTGCAAGTTTTTGTAAAAATTACTCATACGACACGTATTAAATTTATTGATCATAGGCAATGGTACGTATTAGTGATATACTTTAAATCTAAGACGATAACCCACTTTTTTTTCCCAAAAATTTATTCTGGTGCGTTTAAAATGCAGCAGGACCCTACCATTTGCATGCAATTTTGGACCACCCTAATGTACACACATTTGTATTTAGCCCGTTTTGGGGCCCAGAAAGTGGCTGCCCACTGGGATCGAAATTGAATTTCAAAGCGCGCATAGATAAATCATATGGCGAGGTGGGTTTGTTGACTTCGCCGCGTCGAAGGACGCCGAACACTAAGCACCCAGACGTGAGCTGCAAGCCCAAAGACCCAATGGGATCATCAGGGGGCGAAGAAATGATATCGGGGCGGATCGAATTATTGTTTACATATGTACCAACCGCACATATGCTCGTCATAGGTATGTCCATCACGTATCATTCTCGTATAGTACATGGGGTATCGTATACAAGTGCGTGGTCAACGATTAGATAAAGCGTGGCCGAAGTTTTTGGGCGTGTTTCGGTCCGGCTTTTGGCCATCTGTCTGTCCAACTCTCGGAAGCCAACCGAAATGCTGCCTTTAAACGTTTTTACGACAGGCCCTATAATACGGCTTTATCGCCAACCAACACACGCGCCAAACTCTCTAAACAGCCTTGAAAAATCATATTGGAATATAAATATATTTATGCACATAATATATGTACATCCGATTAAAAGGTAAACAAGGCGAAATTTATGAGTTGTATGATTCGCCAGCTAGCAAAGGATATTTAGATAATGTTCAGCATAGTTTTCCAATATTAATGTCGCACTTTTCAGTGACCATTTTCCACGCACTTGCAAGGGCATTTAATCTCTCTTCATTGGCAGACCTTAGAAGAGGTACGGATGGACGTACACGAAGTACATACACTTGAGAGACCGCGATTAGATAGTTTAGTTAAATAAGTGAGACTAACGTGTCAGGGGCTGACAAATGATAATCCATGAAAGTAAAACGGTGCATAAAGCACTCATTGTAAAAAGCGCTCGTGCTACAAAATACAACTGGCGTTGAAATTGATTTAAATGCAAAATGTAACTTTCATATTACGAGCGTGGCAACACGCAGGGGTCGATCTTATATACATGACAAAGGGAACATTTATATTGAATAATTGTGAGTACTTAAAATACATTGCCTAACTATTGTTTTGAAACGAACTATATCTATTCTATAGCGGATATTCGGCTCCGAGCTGCTGTGCTATATATTACCTATAACCGTACAATAAAAATTTAAAATATTATTCCTGTGCCAAGTGCTAGATTTAAGTTCCCCTGTCTAGACTATGAAGGCTACCCACATTTGGTTACCGGGCAGTGATAAGATGTGCGTGTCCAGGGGCCCACAATTACTTTATACATATTCCCGACTGCCCAATTTCCAGGTACCTACGGCAACAGCGTCCAGTCCAAAAGTTCCCTCGAGTGTCGCGATTGTCTCCGCACCTGTGATTGTGGCTCTGACTCTGATTGTGATTGTAGTCGAGTGCCGAAAGACGCCATTCTAATCAGCAAACCCGAAATATATGGAATAGAAACAAATCAAATGCACTCTGATGGGAATTATATATTCAACAGCTGTTGAGTCGAGATAGGCCTTCCCCTTCGATGATGAATCGGTAACCCAAGGGGTCATAAATTACTTCGTCACTAATCTATTTACTCATCTCAGAAAAAGTGCCAAATAGGTTTCAGCTAGGCAACACATTGCCGTTTAATTAGTTATCGGTGCGCAGTCAATTGTCAAGATAAGTCCATAAATAAGCGTTAGTTTATCAATCAACCCATATCTATATTTTGTGGGTCGCCTAGTGATGCAATCGATGTCGTGACGTCATGGGGTGACCCATTTTTATGGTCAGATTCAAACAGCATCACAGGTACTCAGAGTATAGTGTAATTTTCCACAACTTAAAAACGACCTTCGGCTTTATGCGGCGCTTCCTGTGCCAAGACAACGAACAAAATTACTCGTTTCGCAATTGGTTTGTGCATTTTTAATGAGGCCCGAAAACTTGGCTTTGGGCAAAACGAAAAAAAGCGAAAAAAAAACAAACAAAAAAAATAATAACTATAATACCAGTAAACATCATCGCGATAGTTAATTGTGAGCGAACATAACACGCTCACGTATGTCACAACATCCCGTCGTCAGTCCAAAGTTTTGGCATGGTCCCATAGTCGCCTTTAATGTAAACTAATATGAGTTTTATTAATCAAATAGAAATAATATATGCGTATGCAAAATGCGGCCATTGAGGTCAGCAGAAGGGGGCACAAAGATTTAATAATTTCCAAACCAAAAACAAAACTGCGAGTCGTAAAAAGCAATCCAAACGACCAAACGACGTATTTAAGAGTTAGCCAGATATATGTACATAACATATATAGTACTATATGTATACAGCTGTGTGCACGCAACCTCCAGATTGTTGCAACTTGCAATCAAATCATTAGATAATACCTGGGCATCTGATCTGTTGGTTTCACTTTATAAGGCAAACCAAGACTCGTAAATTTGCTTTATCAGACTTTTCTTTATTTTCATTTTGGAACCCATTTCAAAATAGCCCGATTAATAATCTTTATATCTTTATGTGCTTATAAGGTGTATTCTAAAAAACAATGTACAAAATATTTACCCTGCGATAAAAGTTCTAAGAATAACGTCATGGGGTCTGCGTCTGCTTTTTAATCGGTCTAAGTTGAGACTGCCAGTGAATATCTATTGGGATACTAATTATGTTTTACGAAATAATAAATACCCTTGCTTTCAATATATCAGTACTTAAATATGCTGGTTCTGGGAATCAGCACTAAACAGAAGTTATCCTTCTACTAAAAAAGATTAAGATTGCTGAAAAAAAAAACGCAGATGGAGATAAATATAGTGATTAAGAAGAAGCCTGTCATTTGTCTTATCAATTAGAGTTTTATCTTTGTTATGCGAAGATGACATTATACATTTCTAAGCCCAAAAGTTACCTAATGTGTGATCGGACCTGATTTGTCTATTTCCAAGTGGAGACATAAGGCCTAAAAATCCCTTTCCTCTCTGAACTTTCTCCCACGGATTAACCCTTAGTGTGGCCTACGGGCCACTGATCACCCACTGAGCGAAGATCTCTCGGCGATCTTTGGTCTCCATGCTCGTATCGGATTGGATCGCATTGTGTCGGAGACGCGGACTCAGGCATTGGGTAAACGCCCGGTGCTTAAACGACGAACACGTTAACCTTGACTATTGCCGGCGGCGGCAAATCTCAGACACTGGTGCAGACAGCGCGGTGGGGCAGACAGGGGTTAAGCGGAGCTATTCCAAAGATCGGCAAAGAAATGCGAATGATGATGTGATGATCAAGCCGAAGCCGAACAACAATAAACGGAATGTCGAGCACTTTTTACGATTGTTATACAAGTATATTGCGGCTACAGATTTCAGCCGGCAGCACACTTTAATGGGTTAGTAATGCGAGCAGGCATCCGAGCTATGAGAGCAAGCTGCAGTGCGGATCATGAGCATATGTGCCACTAAGGTGTATAGTACATAAAATAGATAAATAGCTCTTTAAGCCATTTTTCAAACAGATACTAAAGCCTTTGCTTAATAAAACCAAATACTTTTTCAGCGCTACACTTATAGGCAGCACTGTTGTACCTGTCTGTTTTAGCCGATACCATCGAGGTGACTGTGTTTTATTGTGGCTTGATGCACCGTTAGTTGGCACCACTTAAAATGGCTAGCAAAAATGAGTTCAAGTTGTCTTTGGACTCGAATTGCAACTGGCCTACAGAGAAAAACAATCGTTGGAGAAAGGCGAAGAGTTGGGGGAAGATATATATAGATATGTATCATATATACCATATAAAGCCTCAAATCCGATTCGTGTGAGATTTAGTGAGGCGTGAAAAACGCATTCGCCAAATGTCGGACCGCAAAAACCGCACCTGGAAGACATTCCTTTTGGCCAAGACAATTATCTAATGAGTGTGTGCCATAAAAAAGGCTTAATGGCAGACTTTGGGCATAACATTTTAATTGGAAAATTTTAAAGAAAAATTTCAAAATGTTTAATGAATAAAACAATTTTCCTCTCATTCTGGCATACTATTAATTCAAATTGTAGTTTTTGAAATAATCATCCCAATAAAAGAAAACGAAATACCAAGTTCTGATCTCGTTTCGTATTATTTTTGGCATTTCACGCTGCGGTGCGAATTTTTGCTTGTGCAATCCCGGAGATCTGAGATTTCGGAACTCGGTTCTCGACCACCCTTATTTCCATCCAAGTGCTAATCAATGACAAAACGATCGCTTATGTAATGATCGCCCGCAAAAACAAAAAAACATCTACTGTTTGGCTACACGTCGATTATCAGTTCAATTCACCTGATACGGCAGAAATACGACAAATAGCGAATATAAAAATGCTTAAGAGGCGCCAGCTGACTGAGAACTGAAAAATCTGAACTCTAATCAGGTACCCCTCTATTGCGTCTTAGTTTTCCCCGTCCAGCGAATACACGTTTATATTCGAGTCCAACGGTAACAACAAAAACTGGGACCTGATTCTGGAAAGTTTTGTTGATTATCGCCCGAAAATAAATTATGGAAAATTCTGACACAAAAATAAAGACTTAAATCAACAAAATATTAAAAATAAAGGGATTCATTTCAAAACAACATATGGTTAATAAGAAAGAGATACAATTAATTTAAGAATACAATTTCAGTAAATGTGGTTGCCTTCCACATGGAAAGTAATAAATTTATGTTCAAAGAAAATAAATAAACAAATGAAGGTCAAAAAAATGATGTGTAACTTTGTTCAGTAATCCCTTCCCAATCATAATTGCCAATCAATGAATTGGCAAGCCCTAAGCTCTTTCGTAAACACACATAATTTCCTGATGCGCATAAATTAAACAAATGTCCATAGAATTAAAATTTTTTTATAGCTTGTTGATATTTTGAAGACTTTTACGCCTTGCCTTTCTCGTAGGAGATGTCTTTGTTTGTTTATTTCATTTTCTTTCGTATTCGTTGAGTCGCCCAATTTTTAATTGATTTTTAATGCGATTGAAAGCGAAAGCCATAGACAATAAATATCTTTAAAACGTGCTCTCTCTCCCTCTATATATATTTCTCTAGAGTTCCGATACAAGTTTCCTATTAAGCTTAAGCGAAGATTTCCTGCAATTTTCTTATTTGTGAACAATGCCAGTTTTTAGTGGACAGTGACAGTGGCGGATATCTCAAAGTTAATTGAAATGTTAGTGACCAAGGTTTTACCCCCATCGAATGGCTACTTATAGATAGACCCAGTTTGATAAGAACTTTCCAACGACACCATAAATAGATATCGCTTCAGTTCAAGTGGACTTTTCACTTTTGAAGTGATCGGATCGGGAGCTTTACATAAGTTTCCCTTGAAACGCAATACGTAATAATTAGGGTGGTAAAACACTTGAGTTTGATGTAAAAATTTACTTTGATGAGCTGTCTTGAACAATAATTGCGCACTCATTACTCAAGGTTTAAAGAACGTTTTTGTTATAAGATTAACCATAATTATGAATTACGATGATTTATTTAGTAGTACAGATAATATTTTCTCTGATAAAATTGTTTTGTAAACTTTTTTGCTCATTTTGTGCATGAGTATTTATTATTATGGCCGGCGGTGTATCGCCAAAGAGGCCACTCCAATTCAAAGATATTTCCGTAATTAATGTCAAATCCACCGCCCATCCACCCACTGACCCAGAAATATATATTGAATTTGTGTCTGTATCTGTATCTGTGTGTCTGTACTTTTTCCATTTGGCGGTATTGCCGCTCTCGATTTAACCGTTCCCGTTCCCGTTTCACATTCCCGATCCTATCCGATCCGAGCCGATCCAAATTCCCGTTCCCGTTTTTATTGCCGTTAGCGGCGATGACGTTAATTTCGTGGCTGGGCGTGATTCACTTTAGATGCCGGCGATTTGCTTGGAATTTTATTAAAAACAAAGCGAAATCGTGAATCAGCGTCTTTATTTCGATACCCATGAGCCAAGATACAGACATGAACATAATAAATGTACATATGTGGGTGTAAGATTGACTAAAACCGAATTCGTTACAGAAGCTCAGTGCCAAGAAACGCTAGTTAAGTGATTCACACGATTTGGTTATTCGCTGAATTTGTTGATTAATAGTTGTTGTCTGTCATTGTTTACTATGTTCCACATGTAAATGTTTTTTAAATTAGTGCGTTCTTTGTATTTACAAACAAATTATTTTGCATTTTTTGTTTATTTATGCCTTCTGTTTTGGAAGTTGTAAAGTAAGTGATTTTCTCTTAAGATTTTTTTCGATTTGTAATAATTCAGGCATCTGCTAACTGATCTATTAAGTTTTTTGTTGCAATAACTCACCTTCGATGCATGAAGAACTGGCCAACCGATGTCCGTAGCCCCTTTCCAGCCAATTCGAAGGGGGTGGTGAGGGCGAGGATCCACTTCCGGTTACTCCAGCGATTCCATTCCGCTTCTGAATATTCCCAAAGGCATTGGATTGCTGCTGCTGCTGATGTTGCTGCTGCTGGTGTTGTTTGTTGCTGTTGTAGCGACTCTTGCGAGTTGTGTGCTTGCTGCCGGTGTTACTGCCGTGCTGCAATGTTGCTGTCGTAGCTGTTGCATGTTGCTGGTAGGCCATCATGCCATTGGTTGATGCTAGGTTGTTGCCGGTGTATTTCTGTGGGCAGCGCTTGTTGCTGCTGCTGTTGGTGTTGCTGGTCGTATTGATGGTTGTGTTGCCGCTGTTCTGGTTGCAACGCTGCATTTTGTCATCTGGAAAAAAAGTCAGCAATTTAGTATTTGTTTTGGTTCGGAAAAATGGGAATACTCTATTTATCAAACACATTTCGTAATAGAAACTTACAAATCTTAAGAAAATGTACTTGCAAGAAATCTTCGAGAAAGAAATGCATTGCACCGCTGCAGACATAAACGCGTTAGAATTAATTTCAAGATTGTAAACAAAATTTTGTTTCGTTTAAGGTGTTTATATTTTGTCTATTTTGTATATTTTGTAAGGAAACCCTCAGCAAACCGCCTGCACTTGCAGTTGAAAGCCAACTAAATGGCGCGATTAGCAAACGCTTGCGATATAAACAAAAAGCTGGGCGCCAAGAAAATACAGCGAATGCAAAAAAACCCAGAGACAGAGTCGCACAATTCACTTCACTGATGACGACACAGTGAATCACCCGCTGATAAAGCGGGAATACAGCGAATTCATCGGCTCTGTCTGTCTCTTTCTTTATCTCTGTTGCCCTCTCTTTCTCCCTTTTGCTGGGGCGACGGAAAATAAAACCTAGGCCAAGTCACACTATGTTTGTGGGGCTTTTCGACCAGGTTTTGACCACGTGCTCCCACAAACTTCCTACTTAGATAAGGTGTATCTGTATCTACGGTTCGCATGGGGTATACCATATGTTGGGTCGTTTTTTACGCCTGCATAGAGTATTATATTATGGTTACTATGACTTACGCCTGTGCTTTTAATCATGAACAACATAGAATTTTCCCCAAACCATTTGTTTTATGTACGTTTATACCAGATCAGCTTAATTAATATAAGTGACAACATCAGACGACAGGCAACAGGCGACTTTTATCTTCGGTTGCCAAGGGCTATCCCGGTATATTCAGTATAAAAAATATTTTACTATACCTGGAACAAACTTAGCCTTCTTGCCGAACTTTGGTACCTGTTGCTGCTGAAACCTCTTCATTAATGTATGCAATTTTTGCGCTTTTCCGCCGCTTTTCCAAGGATTAGGAAAATTTAGCTCGATTCGATTCGATTTTGCGTGGTGGAGTGTTTACTACGGACAAAACGAAGCGAAAGAAACGGCAAAAATTTTGATACTGTGCAAATGTTTTGTTTGGTTTGAAACTGTCTTGAACCGATCCGATAACATGCTGATAATAATATTCCACAGGGCGGCCAATTTCCAAAAAACACAGAAATCTACAGGGCCATGTGATCCATACATATGTTGTTTACCCCGAACTTCTTATAAACCTCATTTCCAGATAATTCGGGTTGGGCCCGAATTAGTAGACTTTTAGGGCACTCTACACATGCTCGTCACATACGCATAGCTACTTTTAAAAAATTCAATGTGCAAATGTTTTACCGCTCAAAATCCAGTTTAAAAACTTATGTATAAAACTAATGACAGCCGGCAACTATTGTTTTTGTATGAGTAGAACAACTAGTTCGGATCATAGTTAATGGTATGCACTTTTGTTTTGGAAGAGCTTCATGTTATATAAGTTTTTGAGTAGTAAGTTTCATTATAAATTTAAATTTAAGATCCGTTTCTTAAAGATATTTCAAGACATTAATAGCTTATTAATTTAATTTTATTTAAGCTTAATTTTATTTAAGTATTATAAAGAACTAAACAATAGTACTTCGCCAATCGTACTTAAAATAAAGTATAAAATCATAAAAATAATGGCAACTGCAAATTATTCAAAATATTGCTTTTCCAAGTATTTCGTTATTTTTCACTGCTTTGACCAAAATAAAATTATTTTTGTTATTTTTGTGAAGTCTTTCATGTTTGCGTGTGAATTTTAACACTCAATAAGAACTTGTGTTTGTATTTTTAGCCAACGAGCACATAAGCGAAAAGTTCATCATCTGGTTCGCTTTCACTAGGCCACCATAAATGAATCTTGGAATTTCGACAATTATCGTTGTTGTTGTTTATGGCGAGATATGAGCTCAGAAACATAATAACAGCAATCGCACAACTACAAACCAGAAACAAAACAAATCTATATAAATTATAGAAGAGTTAAACAAAACCAAAAAAAAGGCTGTACAAAAACACAAGACAAGCTGAAGACAGTCGAAATGACGACTGCGAGAAACAGGTACCAGTTCGTGCCTAGCGCCGTTCCATGTGCGTACCGCCTGCCCCGCCCCCTTTTAAAGCCCCCGCCGCCCACCGCCCACCACACTGAAAAAATACATGGCAAGCAATTGAATTCATGCGATTAAAGTCCGCTTTTGTGATGAATATTTGCTTAGCTTCAGCTTAGTAATTTTGAAATAAGGAAATAAACCGTTGCCCTTTAAAACCAATAGGTTCATGTTAAAATGATATATAACGTTTCATTAATATCCTATATTTATATTCAACAATACCAAACTTACACATTTTATGACAAAATTTTTTAGTTTTTATCCTTAAGAAATTGTACCCCCATTCGAACAGTGCACTTTCAAGAAGAGAGTGGGAGAAGTCTTTGAAATTATCGGGTAATTTGTTGTTATTTCTTGGTAATATCAATTTGGCGAATGCAAAAATCGTGAAATTCGCAGGCGACCACGCCCCCTCGCTTGTCGTTGATTAGGGCGTGTGATTTATGAAGGCGTCGCACTGAATCGCGATGAATCGGCATCCGAAACGAAGTTGGAATGATAATGTTGCGTGTGGAACCAGTTTGGAAGAAGCTTATAAATGCGACAAGTTCGTTGGGATCGTTGTGGGCACGTGTGTGCGATCACCACCTTCCATCCCTCTAATATTTTACCCCCTTTTTTCGATTTTTCTGCTCGCGCAAAAATGCATTGCCAAAACGGAAATGCATTCTATTTTTGCGGCCACCGCCGAACTCATCAACTGCATCATTATGATCGATATGATCATCATCAAATAGCAAAAACGATTCATTCACATTCATTCAAGTTAGCAACAACACAGAAAATTCAGCGCGCCAAAGTTGAATGAATTCCACAAAAGATATGTGTGTGTATATATACGTGTATATATATATATAGATATATACGAAAGATCCCAGAGAAAGGAACAAGGCAAGGAAACGAGACATTAAAAACGATTATGGTATATAGGGGAGCCAACTGAAGCGGATCATTAAGGGAAGACCACAGCGAACCGAACAATGGGGGAAACTTCAAAAGAAACTTTGCACAGATCTCAACAAACTTGGGATACACTTAGTTTTTGACAATGTTTTCTTAAAGAAAGTTTTATTATTTGAACTTTAAGCCTATGCTTTACTTCGTTGTTTAAATAAAATATTCTAGATTTATATTTTGTCATATAGTTTCTGTTAAACTTAAACAATTTATTCTCCAGTATTTATTATTCAATAATTTCGTGCCTCGTAAAATAGTCAATAAGTAGTTTCGGATGTGAAGGCCCTTGAAAAGTGTCACATGTCCTGTCGCCCAAGAAAGGGTATGCCAACAAAAGGGGACCAAAGCGAAGAATGCCAATATCATTTTGCGCATGGCAACAGCTGAAAACCTAAACTTAAACCGACGATGACGACGCATTCGGCGCATGCGTGTGTGCTGCGCAGATACAGATACACTTTCGGACACATCTGTCGGATACACAGATAGCTGAAGTTTGGCACAAAAAGTTTTCCGAAATCAAATAGAAATCCGAAAAGCAGAGTGGAAATTATCCCAAGAGGCCAGAAATGCGGCGCACAAAATACACGAATCGAAACGAGTTTTCCTAATGGGTTTAATGGCTCCGGCGGGGTTACAAGTGAGGTTACAAACTTTTCTCCTCAGCCCCCGGTTTTTGTGTTTTGGTTTTTGGTTTTTAGGTTTTAAGTATTGGGTTCAGACGGAGCCTCGACTTTCGGAAAGACAGAATGACAGAACGACAGAAAGACAGATACACGTGTGTGCGCCACCGCCTCTTGTAATAACCAATGTTTCAGCGGACCGGAAATGTTAATGCGGCCTTAATGTATTGTATAATTGCGGTCAGGCCATAAAAATGACTAGAAATCCATAGAAAATTAAGTGATTCGCATTCAATTACGTGCCCCGAGCGCTAACATCTAGAACTTTTTGCCATTTCGTATTGTGGCCACATAAACGTAAATTAGATTGATGTAAGGCAGTGCCAAAAAAAAAAACAGGAAGACTTATCAACCTGGGACGTGCCTTGGGGTTTAGTTTTCGTTTTCGTTTCGGGAATTGAGGATTGGGCTCTAATCAAAAGTGCTTTAAATTTATGGAAGAAGGAAGAAGATCGCGGCGATGGAGCGTGATGTGATGTGTTTTTATGGCTGACTGCCGATAACCAAGCCCCTTGCTTTCCACTAAGTTATTTCAAATTGAACGAACAATGTAGTACGTCAAACATTTTAGGCCTCTGGGAAGACTTTCAAGTAATCACATGCGATTGGAAACACGGTGTGGGACTGGCTCACTCGAAAATCGATAAACAAATCAGTTCCGATGACGACATTGAGCACATGGCGTATGCGCAATGTGTGATATCAACTTAGACAAATTTCAGTTTTTTTTGTCGCTTATGTGTATATGCTTACGGATTGTCAGTGGTTAAAGAATTTTTTTCGCCATAATTTTAATTAAAATATGACACAGGTTGCCATAAAGCATATAGTAATATAAAAACTATATTTAAGACAACTTGACAATGTGCACTTTTAAGGTTCCTAATTTGGTAAGGTGTTGTTTTCCTCTTAAGCCCGTGATAAACATTTTTTTATAAAATCTGATATACCCGTTTGCTAGAAAAATGACCGCAAAATATTATGACTTCCTTTGGTGAATTACAATCTTAAGTGGAATCGATAGGCTTATCAGCAAAAGAGTCACCCTAAACAATTCAAAGTAATTTCTATACAACTCTACAAGATTACTTACAAATTATATTTTTCACTTTAATTGTGAAATGTTATGTTTGACAAATAAATAATGGGTATTTTGGGATATACAGGCTGGGTGTTCGGCTTGATGTCTATATAAGACACTTGTG